AAATGATAATAACATTTTTAATCATTATTATAGCATAATTATTATGTCACAAGTAGTATTTCTCCCTGCTTTTATTTTGGAAATAATTTGAATTCCTTACAGGCCTCAATTTCTTTTTCTCAAAACATTGTTATTATTAGATTCTGGAATTTTCATCATTTTTCCCTTCAGTCGAAATCCCCAAACAATCTTTGCAGATACACCGCCATCATGACAATATATTTTTATAGCCTTTCAAATAAGGAAATGAGTGGAAGATGAATATTATAAAATACCATTAACGTGTATATTATTTCTGCTATTGCCATTATTGTTTTTGAGCAGGAACAACATCTCGTCGTTGAGCAGACCTCATTTAGAGCATAATGACTATCTAATAGTCCCTGGTAATTGTATACAATACTCAGAGCAGCGTGACGCAAAACAACTTCAAGGCGCCATTGTGTGCACGTTTCACCTTAACATGCGTGAAATGCCATTGTGTGCACTTTTAGCGCTTCACTTCCCACAACAGTTTGCCCCGCGCGACGGCCTCGACAGACCCTAATAATCTAACACCCCCCCCCGCCCCCCTCTCATCATCGTTGACACCCCCCTCCTTCTCCTCCACCCCATGTGACCACCAGATTGGAGGCGCGCATCGGTCTCAGACACCGGCAGGTTAGTGAATCCGCTCCCCGCTCCCATGGGTCCCATCTCGGCTGCATGCTGTCTCATACTAGGCGGGGACAACCCCGAGATAAGGCAACACCCACCCACCCTGACTTAGCGGTTTCTTTCTACTCTGCTGGTGCATGAAAAGGAGCAGTGGTTTGATGCTTTTCTGTACAGAGTTTTGTGTGTGTGTGTGTGTGTGTGTGTGTCTCCTTTTCTGTATCCTCCCTGTTCCCCGTGTCCACCGCTCCAGCGCTGTTGTAAATAAATCATAAGCTGATTAAACCGATTTCTTCCTCCTTTACTATCATAAAACTTAAAGAGAAGCTTTTCTCAATTGGATTTGTTTCCTCACAGAAGACCACAAAGTTCTTAACGCTATATTACCCCAAATGTTTTTTGTGTTTTTAATGTATCCACATTTGTGGAGTACAAACATAAAATGGTGAAGTTAAATCGTTTTTACCGACAAACCTTGAAAGAATATCATGGTTGGTTTGAAGCAACACCTCCCAAAAACAATAACAGACGTCTGATTATTTTGCATTAGAAGAATACAACCATGGACTATTTTTATTATCATTTATTTTACAGATATTTTTCAACAGTAGCTTGCTCTTTTAAATGACAGTAGAGTGACGTAAATCTTGACAATGCCTTTTCTGTCCAGCAAATAGTCCCCTTAAAATATATTAGAAAATGTTTATTTACAATTATCTAACTAAACAGAAATGAGCAAATCCTCAAACTGCAAAAGTCATTTCAAAGCGTGTGTGAAAAGGATTATAAATTTAACAAAAATGTAGATTGCACAAATTATTATTTGTTAATTAAATTGTTGTTTTTTCAATTAAATGTACTGTAACTCTGTGCACATTCAGTTTATAAATCCTATAAAATCTGGAAAACGTATCCTTTCCTGTCTGCAGCTGAGGCTCATATACTGCTGCCAATGTTGGACAATCGTGTCTCTGATTAGAGCTCAATTTATTTTCTTTCATTCTTTTTCCAGGAAGTGGTTTGAATTTGAGAGCCAGGGCACTGTCACCTGAATGCTGAAATAGACACACACACGCTGATGTCGAGGGAAGGTATTATTGATCCATGTTAAAGAGAGGAAACAGGAATGCCCATCTCAAATCATGGTATTATTGATCTACATTAAACATTCCCACTCCTCCCACTCACATTTTTACCAAAACAAAGTTGGCACCCTCGGGTCATTTCAGTGAAGTAACCCCTCTCCCTCCTCTGTCTTCCCCCTGATTGGGGATGACAGCTGCACAGTTATTTTAATTAAATATATTTAAGACCAATATTGATACTTTTATTCTGATCAGACCACAAGTCTTGGAATAATTACGAAAGTATCAATAATATAAAGCTTAAACGTAGATCAACATCAGTTGTATCTTAATAACCTATACTGAACCTATCTCTTAATAATCTGTGGTATTTTATTTAGCTTCATTTCCTTCCCTCTGCATTATTGGAATCCTGCCCACCACTAATACTACTAATAAGGCCGGCTGAGCTTCCTCAGCTTCAACTTGCTTTTTAGTGTGGGGAGAAGGAAAAGAAAACATTGCGCTACGTTTTATTTACTCGCTCAGTCGAGCAGGTGAGTTAGATATACATCTGGATATGTGTTGTAAAAATATGTGTCGTCTTTGAATAAACTTTGGCATCTCTATCGTTTTGGAACATCGAGGAAAGCATGTCTTTCGAAGGGGATGTATGTTAAAAGATGACTCTTCTCAACAAACAAACAGGATAAAAAAAATAAAAAACAGCGGTGAAAAAAAAAATATATATATATAAATAAAAAGGCGCTTGCTGTGGAGCTGGTGCTGTACCCCGGACCAGTCGGGGATGCAAATGATGCACCTTAACGCCATCAGGTACTGGAGTTGACAGAAAATAATGAGAACCCGCTGAATCTTTTATAAGGTTAACACTCACATTTCCCAGTCAGCTGTCACACAAGAAAGAATTTAGCACATGCATGCGGGCGAAATAAACCTTCATCGTCTCATTAATGCTGACAGGGCCCTGGACCGGCAGCTCCCAGCGCCGGCGCCGCCACCACCTTTCGTTTTGTGTCGGTAATTTGCAGCGGAGACAGACCCCCTTCTCCTGGAGAGAGGGAGGAGGAGAGGGAGGAGGAGGAGGGGGAGGAGGAGGTGGGGGAGGAGGAGGGCGAGGTATACATTAAGGAGGACAGCGGGAGCGAGAGGGAGAGAGGGGAAATGGTAGAGGATTGTAGAGGAAAAAAGAGAGGGAAGGTGGGCCGTGAGGCAGGGGAGGGGAGGAGGGTGGAAAGATGGCTAACGCGCCAGGAGTCTGATTCTCCCCTAATTGGAAGCATTGGGCATTGTCAACGGAGGGTTTTCAGCTGCTCGCTGACAGGTAGAGCCGTCAGAATGATAGCCCACTTGTCAGCGCAAAAGACCAATAAAAACAAACCACTTTTGATTTAATTGGAGGCCTAACCATGGTGTGTGTGTGTGTGTGTGTGTGTGTGTGTGTGTGTGAGGTAGAAAGTGTGAGTTGCCTGCAGGGCCAATGGGGGGGGTGATGAGTGGGGGGGGGGGCATTTCGTGTGTGTGAAGGAATCATCAGTGGAGCCATCAACGTGCCTCCGTCTTTGCCGTCGTCTGAGCTCTCATCCGGCTGCTCCCCGGGGCCAGTGGTCACCGGTCGCCCGCGGGGAGAGGAGTTTCAGCTGGGAGGGGGCAGGTTGTGATTCCGTCCCAGGAGAGCCTTCCCGGAGCAGCAACATCAGAGCCGAGAACAGTTTCTCCCTCTTGCTCATCTCCCCTTTGTGTTTTCTTCATCCTCCATCAACAGAGTTGGGGTCCAGCCCTTCATTACGGGATGAGCAACGGTTGACATTTGCCGCGCTCCTCTGTCGACTGACACCCGTACGGCCACAGCTTTTCTGTCCCAGAGAGCAAATGTCACCGGCGGAGGCGGCCGCGTAGGACCTGTAGTGTGGTTTGTCTCTGTGTGCTCCCTTAAAGGTGCATCAGTTGAATGGTGGCGACTATGAAAATAATTGATGCTGAAGTTCAAACGGAGTAGAAAGCAAAAAAAATAGAAAAATCAGGTTTGGGTTCAGGAGTAGTTCACTGAGTCCAGCTGTCCAAGCCAACTTTTTCCTTTGGTGTACCTAACTTTTTTCATTCAGGCACACCCACATTTAAATCTCTGCCAAAGAGGTCGGGTTGGATTCGGCGTGTTGCCTAATGGATGCTGATACGGATGATGTCTGCGGTGGGACTTGGAACGGCCACCGCAGTATCATCCTGATAAAAACAATATAATACATAATTATTGATACGATCATTTATTTCAACAACCAACATTCAGCGACTACCAGGGTCAGAGCCGATCAAAGGCAGAGTAGCAGGCTTTCCAGGAAACAACAAAAAATAAAAATGAAGCTACAGAGAGACCGGTCCGCAAAATGTTGGGTCCGCCGATGAAAACGGTTTGTCGCACGTGACAGATTTTTGGTTGCTTGTGAAAATATGGTGCCACGCTGAAACCATGCCTTTCCTTTTGTTGTTGATTTGCTTTGTGCAGGAAACTGTTTCATGCTGTTTAATAAACCAAGTGCCTGGCTTGACTGGCCGGCACGGAGCCCTGACCTCAAGCACCTGCAGGATGATCTGAAAACAATGAGCCAGGCATTAAAAACCAGAGCAAGTCCCTGCAGCCTGACTCCTAAATCTGGTGGAAAAACACCAGGTAGCGGAGGCTGTTTTACTGTGGGAGCAGATGGATGCTCATGTATCTGGAATGACATGTTCAACTGCAACATACGTAGTTAATGTAGTGCAGTGCATACTTTTGGCTGTAATTTAGCGTAACGACAATCTGAATGGTTTGCTCAATGCTGATGAATAAAAGTAGAAATATTAAAGACTGAGGGGAAGGGGGGGTAGATTGGTTTGACTAACATATAACTGGTCCATGTATGTTGGAACTGGATTGAAACTGGCACTGGTTGACAGTTTCCAGCCGAGGGGATCTTGTGGAGCTCATTAACACCCCACGTTTGAATTCCCATGAGACCACTTACACCTGAGTAAATATTTGCATTCGCTGCTGCAATGTATTTGGACCAAGTGCGTTGAAATATCATTTTGATCGGTTGCTTAATGTTCTCCATGCAGTTTGAAATATCCGTACTCATTTTGAACTTGCCTCGCATCGGCGTCTACACCTCTAAACCTTCCCCAGACTATCGCAAAGAGCACACAATTAATTAACAGCTGTAATAGTCGGGACGCCTCGGTTGGCCCTCTTGACTAATGTGTGCGTGTATTTCATAATTACAGGTTCACGCGTGCATCCCAGGGCCCACCTGACCGTCCTGCGCTGTCGGCTCTGGTGCGCTTCCTCTTCCAGCCAGCGTTTTATTATTCTTGACAGAGTTCAACAAACACATCTGGTCAGAGGATAAGAGGCGATGGAAGGAGGGTGCCAAGAGGCGGAGAGGTGAGTGAGGGTGACAGTGGTGAGGGGTGTGGGCAGGGGGGAGGACGAGGACCTACAACCATCCATCATCCTAACGGGCCCCTCGTGAGGAATGCCCGTCCCTTCAAGCCCGATCCCCTCCAAAAGAGGATGGAGGGTATCCGGCTGTAAGTGAACGTGTCTAGATAGTGTTAGGTGTTTTAATTAGCTGATTATAATGAACAGTTTACCAGTTGTTCAAATGTCCTTTAGAAACAACCACATATTTTGACATATGAGTGACAAAGACGTCTTGCAGCCGTGCCAGGAGCTAAGGAGGAGGCGGTATGAAGTACAGGCACACGGATTTGTGTGCAGGAGGTCAGAGTTGTTGGCAGCGTTGACGAAAGTAAATATGAAAAAAACGGGTTCATTTTTGACCGTGACCATATTATTCTGTCAACCGTTGCTAACTGTAAGTAGTTATTTCAACCCAATCCATGATATTTCCCTAATCCTAAATCATTTTGTACCCAAACATACGGTATATCAAACAAACATAAACTTAGCTGTGAACAAAACGCTAAGGTGAAAATCAGTAATCAGTAATTACTTTTTTCAGTGACGAGTGATGTGGGAGATTATAATTTGAAGTTCAGCACACTTAACGATCCCAGCGATGCATTGTGACTTTTAAAGTCTGATGGATGGTTTGTATCATTGCGTGGACAGCAGGATGTTATCCTCAACCAAAAAAGGAAATGTGCTTCTGAGTCACTAAAAAGTTGTCTCATTTGCATATTGCGTCTTCTGGTCACTGGTAGCATGTGTTCAGGCTGTGAGGCTTCCGTAGAGGAGGGGGCTTCTCCGGGGTCCTGTATGCGCTCACTAACTGTGACGTAGTGTAGCTAAACTTCAGCGTTGTTTGTCAAAATTAACTCTATTTTATTTTATTTCATCAAAAACTAAAGCATCCAATGTCAACTTTTAGCAACTAGAAGTTATGCTCATTATTCATTTATCTAGCAAAACGGTGAATGTTTTCCTCTTCCAGGGTGTAGTAGTTCAATGTTATCCCGTCATGTGGACTCCCGCTGAGTGATGGCGTATTGGTGGGCTCACATTGGGCGAGGGGTCCCCTGCAGCTGCCACAGGGAGACGCACACAAGCTGCTGGACGGTGCCGAGACCGTTCCCCTCCAGGTCCAGGTTCGCCCCCCCCCCCGCCCACCCCCACCCGCCCCTACCCTGCCAGGGGAGGCCGAGGCGGGCCGGGCCCTTGGCCTTCTCCCTCCATGTGGGGAGGTGGGGGCATTAGAGAGGCCGTGCATACGTCTATGAATCACTGTGGCCACGCCCACACATACACACACACACACACACACACACACACACACACACACACACACACCAAAACACTTATTGAAGAGCGATGTCTGACCAAACGTCATTTGAGGTTACTATTTATATTATCTTTCCATCTTTGCGTCGTCTGATATTGAATTTTATATCCATGCTTTACAAACTTCATTTGTTGGCATGATTCCGCAAATGTTGCTGTTAACTGTTCTTTTCCATCTGATATGGTCAGGCGTTTTCTAGCTGCATTTTAAAATTTAAATATATGTTCCTACAGCTAACTGAGCAGTTGTTACTGCAAAAAGAATATGTCAGGCCTTGTTCTAGTTGTGTCACACAGACACACACTGCGCACATCATGGCAGTTTTCTATTCTGGCCTTAAACTCCCTGCCTCCTTATTTGGCCAATATGCAGGTAATATGTGGGGTCGCAACATCTCAATTATCACACCTCCTGTCAGACGCTCCCTATCCTCCGCTCGCCGCTACCTTCCACTTCCAACATGCCTTCACCCCCCCCATCCACCCCCCAGCCCACCACCTCCCCCTCGCCGCTCCCGCAGTGACTTTTATTGCTTCATTAGCATGCTCCACATGCTGCGGTGCACACCCACGCTCCGCGAGCCTCCAAACCCTAACAAGGTTTGGCAGATCAGTGCGTGATGAGGGGATGAGGGTCTCTATCTGCTAACAGCCCACCTACCTGGCGCCGCGGCCCATTTTTGTCCAAGGGTGCGCTCGACCTGGTGATGCGGAAAGTAAGGGGAAACAGCTGGACGAGCTGGTGCGAAGGTTTTTCCTGGTGTCACGCCTGAAATCTCATAGCAGATGAGATGACCTGCAGAAGACTTTGTGTTATTTGAAGTCTTCCGATTCCAATTTTGTACCCGAGATTTGGCAACAATATTGTAGTTTGAGGTTGAATGGGTTGCTTTTAAATGTGCAAAAAAGGATGAGTCCCTCGTTTGAATACCCAATTCAGTGGAAACAATACAGAGCTCTACTCAAGAGTTTATGATACATACAGGTCCAAAAGTTGACGTGGAATAATTAAATTGAATTTAAAAAATAGTTAAATTAAAATTCAGATTTTGGGCGGGATTATAATGTTGTCACAACATTACAACTTTACGGCCAATGAAAAAAAAAAAGCAAATAAATGATTGAGTCTGATAAAATATGCTACAGACACATTATCACGTATTAGCATCTTGATGTCTCGTCCCCAGACGCGACGCAGATTCCTCACCTGCTCTCCTGTAGTTCTGTCTGGTTTCTGTGTAAAATACCTGTTGGGATGCATGCAACCATGTTCTATTTCCTGTCAAAATAATCCATCTACAGCTAAGCAGGTATGTCCAAGTTGTGTTTAGAGTGTGTGTGTGTGTTGGTGTTCAGCGTGTAGAATAAGACCCCAGAAAATGCTCATTAGAGTTGACCTTGGCACTTGGAGGCTGCGTTTGATGGATCGGGTACAGGGCCAAACAAGCCCCCGGGGAGCCATGATCTTATCTCTTATTGTACACACACACCTCTCCCCCCCCCTTCCCCGTTGACCCTGCCCCGGCTCCGCGCTCACTCACACTCCTCTGCTCTACACGCATCACAGGCAGAATAAATCTGTGTCTGACACCACAGGAAAAGAGAGAGAGAGAGGAGAGGAGCGGGGAGCCCTGAGGGAGTAAAGGAGAGAGTGCTTGAAGAGGGAGAGGAAAGTGGGGGGTGGGGGGGGGGGTGCAGGAGGAGAGGAAAAACCCCCACAGAGGGGGCCGCGGAAAACCAATACTCACTGAGGTGTCATTACCTACATTACTCAGATCTGTGTGAGTGTGTATGTTTAAAACAAAACAACCTGCCGGGCCCACTGAGTGTTAAAGGGAAACTCAGGAAATTGGCTGAGTGGGGGAGGAAGGAAGGAGGGAAGAGGGGTGAGGATCAGTGGAGGATGAGTCTGAGATGAAAGAGGAGACTCTCAGGTGTCTCTGTAGCGCGTTCACAGTTTGTTTTGTTCCTTTTACCTGTCCTTCTTCTCCACAACATACACACACAGAGCAACAAACACACACACACACACACACACACACACACACACACGCACGCACATTATTGCCACCGCCACCCTTCTGCCTCCCCCTTCTGCTCCCAACTAGGGGACACACCAAAAACACAAAGAGACATGAGGCAACATCCACCTCCAGGATGGCAAAGTTTCTCCCCCAACCACCCAGCATCCCCATATTCACAGGGGTGGCATCACAGGCTCGTGAACTCTTTGTGGTCTCTTCTTCTGCTGCTGCGCTACGGGGAGAAAGTGACACTCTGAAGTCTTAATTGAGGTTTACCTGCTGTGTGTGCGTGTGTCTTTCTTCACCCCCCCCCCACACACCCCTCCAACCTCCCCCTCGGTGTTGTTGTGTGTTAAAGTGTGGTTAAACTTTATAATCAAGCCTACAGGGTGCTGAAGCGAGGAGAGAGGGGCGTGTGATGACATTACAAACGCTGGTTGTTTACGGCGCTGCTAGCAGCCGCGGCAGCGGGCGGCTAGCTTGCTACCTGCACCTAGCGCGCAACACCAACAACAACAACACAAAACAACGCAAAACTCTTCCACATTATCGCTGTCACTCAACAATCCTCTAAACAAACCTCTTAGTGTTGCCAGTAAGGAGTAAGGAATTTGAGTCAAATGCAACTATTTACTGAATCTTTGGGCATGTTTGAATGGCTCCCTTCGTTTCTCTCTGCACCGTCCCCTTTACCTCGCTTCTGTCTGTCAGTCTGTCTTTGCAGAGATCTGGGAGGGACAGAGAGACTGATGTCTCGGCTCCTCCAGGATCCCACCAGGAACGCCTTTTGACAGTTGCCGGAGCGGCAGGATACAGCGCAAAGATGTTGCTGTAATTGCACCTGGTTGCGTCATGAAAAAGTAATAATTTGCTGTCAAGGACGTCAAGGTGTCAGCGTTCGGCAGGAGTTGATAAGGTATTGACTGCCTCCAGAGGGCTCGCTCACTCACTCTCGCTCATGCTGCTTTCATAAAGTTGACTCCCAGAGAAAGAGGGAGACGGTAGAGGTTGGGGAACAGGGGAGAGGAAGAGGGAAGGGAGGGATATTGAAAAAAAAGGACGAAAGGAGAGAGAAATGAGCAATGAAAATATTAAGCTAAAGACAGTCAACCTGTGTGCTCTGAGCTCTGAGCACATTAATTGCACTCTATTTGCAAACCCTGTTCATTTATAATACATGGCACAGGTTGCCTTAAATTATACATAAGCGATCAACAGGCTAAAGCAGCGTGGCGTGCGCCCTGCAAGTTGAATAATACACAATTACCACCTGGCTCACTCTTCTATTCACTTTGATTGCTGTGGCGCGGGTTGCGACTCGCCACTCATTGATACACAGGCAGCAAAGCGAGCTGGGAAAAAACCTGTGACGCGTTGTTGCAAGGTGGTCCCCGCCGCTCCCAGTGAACCTCGATCTGAGTGTGAACACAAAGCCTCATGGGAAGTTTGACCTCCTCAGCTGAAGGCGAGCCCACAGGTAAGCGTCTTTCAGTCGGGTCGAGAAATAAAAGTGTGTGGTGTCAGGCAGTGGGTAACACGAGTGCACGTACACATATACTTTTGCATTTCAAATTGTTCCTATTTTGGTTGCAAATGACATATCAATATATG